CTTTATGTAAAAAGAAAAGTCAAAATGTGGATACTCTTAAATGATTGGGATATTTTCTAGTGAAAAACACCTTTGAATTGGAGTCAGAAATCCTTAACAAGTAATTCGCATACTAATATGCAAGTATTATTTTTAAAACATTCTACAAATGTTGAAAGCACGAAGAGCCTACATAATCCCCACACATTTAATTAACAATGATTCATATAAATGATACATACTGATTTGGCAGCATATTGCCAGATGGTTTGTTATCACATGAAGTAGTAATAACTTGGCTTTTCTTTTCTTCCTCCCCCCACCTTGCTTTCCTAACTTTCAGCAATTTTCATTTGTATTCAATTTCAGATGTGTTTCATATATTTAAAAATAATGCTCAGCTTCTTTGATTTTACATACACAAAGCAGACAAAAATCACTCTTTGAAACACTCTTTTAAATCAGGACCATCTCCTTATTTTGTGATTTTTTTTGCATTTGTAAGTGCATTTATTTCATTACACTCAGGCATGAGGGAATTTACGCAATCAAATTCCAGACTTAAAAACCATTCCCTTTAACTCTTCACTGCTTTCAATCTGTGATGCACACCTGAATGTCTACATAAGATTTGTTTTGCACTGTGATCAGATCACTTTTTTTCTTATTCATAAGACCATCTTGTGTCTAAGCAACAGGAAAAAAAAAGGCTATAAAAAACTGTAAACACAGAAGCAACCAAGTTAAAGTATTTGAGATTCAAGAGCACTTACAACTTAACGTTATTGGAATGTTACAAAACTCCACAATTTCTAAGTTATAGTGTTCTTTTTCCTAAAATCTTAATGTTTTCCAGTGAGACAATTCAGCTGGTTTAAGTGAAAGGATTGAAACATGTGAGCTACACTTAAATGAATACAACTGAAAAGTTTACAATACCTTGATATTATAACTTCTAACTTACCTCCTCCAACTTGGAGTAGGGTTTGGGTGGTTTTTTGTTTGTTTTTGTTTGTTTGTTTATTTTAATTCAGGGAATGATTACCCAATATTAGACAATTATGGCAACTTCTCAGAATTCAAAACAAAAAATCACAATCACTTAATTCTGAGAAACTCTAATTAACCTCAGAAGAAAAGTCTGCTCCATTTTAATCCATGTTTTATAAGCACACTACTTAGATCTATTATTAGGTGCAAAAATTAAATAAATAAGATTCCAGAAAAGAATTAGGACAGCCTTGCTTTTGGATTTAGAAGCTACTTTGGAGGATAAGAGTCTTATTTGGGGTGTCAGAGAGCAAGATAAAAAGCGTCATTCCCCCTTGGTTACGCTCAGGTTTGGATCCATGCTACGCTGTGTCTTAAAGCATGCGGATACATGGGCAGAGCCAGGAAGTGTCACGAGTTTGCCAAGTGTGAGGCTTTTGTCAAGCAGCAAGGCAAAGTCTGCCTCACTCGAGTGACTACACACATTGTTTAGAATGGATATTCCCCACACTGGGGAGGTTCTGCACAATACCAGGCAGATGACAAACCTGCAGCGAGCAGTGCCTGTTGGTTGCTATGCAGGCCTCGGACTGCCTTCACTGTCACTTTGGGGACACATCCTCTTTATTTTCTTCTCCAGGATCCTTGTGCAGGACAAGCCACCAACAAAGATCACACAATAAAGCAAGAGTAGCATTAATCTCCCTGTACAAGCAGAAAATACAAAAAGGCAAATGCAAACCCTTAGTCACTTTACATAGAGAACGTGTTACCTATTATCTGTTATCTTAGCATAGTTGAATAAGCCTTTGACATCCTACATTATATATGGGAATAAAAGTATCTGTGCTTAAAAATCCCCACGGTATTTCACTTAATATCAATATTTTAAAGGAGTTGCAGAATGTATATATACATGAAAATAAATATCATACAGTGAGAACATATGCAGCAGTATAAAAATAGGTGTTAAAAAAGCAGCACTGGAGAGTAAGGGAAACTATTGGAGCTATGTAGTGAATTCGTATTTCCAGAAAATCATGAAATATGGAAGGGAATTTCAGTCTTTCTTTGCAACAAAGAAATACTCTCAATTAATATCTTTGTTCTTTAAAACTTGGTATGGAACTCGAACTATGATCTCATCTGACTCTCGTTAATGGCCTTCTCAAATAAAGAGGGAGAGAAATGGTACAAGAGCTTAGACTGACTGGCTGATCCATTGTGTTCTACCATAAGAGCCAGCTGCTTACAGCGACCGTGTGCCAGCTATACACTATGGAGCAGGTTAGAAGATCCCATGAGTTGGGATGCAGCTCAGGCCACAAAGGGAAACTAAGAACATGCACGAAGTCCCCAAAGAAACTATACAGATTCCTATTTTTCTTTAATCGCAAGGTTTAGATGTTGCATGTCTATGCTGAAATAAATTTTTTTGCTTTATTTTTGGTGCTTGTTTGCATGATAATGGGAAGATTATGTAGAAAGAATCTACTAACCCAGGGTCCAGGCAACATAACATGAATTCTGAAAACTCAACAGATTTGTATGTTACGATCTGTGGTATTTTGGCCTTACAGAGGCACACGAGCCATCCTCCAACTTGGAGTAGGGTTTGGGTGGTTTTTTGTTTGTTTTTGTTTGTTTGTTTATTTTAATTCAGGGAATGATTACCCAATATTAGACAATTATGGCAACTTCTCAGAATTCAAAACAAAAAATCACAATCACTTAATTCTGAGAAACTCTAATTAACCTCAGAAGAAAAGTCTGCTCCATTTTAATCCATGTTTTATAAGCACACTACTTAGATCTATTATTAGGTGCAAAAATTAAATAAATAAGATTCCAGAAAAGAATTAGGACAGCCTTGCTTTTGGATTTAGAAGCTACTTTGGAGGATAAGAGTCTTATTTGGGGTGTCAGAGAGCAAGATAAAAAGCGTCATTCCCCCTTGGTTACGCTCAGGTTTGGATCCATGCTACGCTGTGTCTTAAAGCATGCGGATACATGGGCAGAGCCAGGAAGTGTCACGAGTTTGCCAAGTGTGAGGCTTTTATCGAGCAGCAAGGCAAAGTCTGCCTCACTCGAGTGACTACACACATTGTTTAGAATGGATATTCCCCGCACTGGGGAGGTTCTGCACAATACCAGGCAGATGACAAACCTGCAGCGAGCAGTGCCTGTTGGTTGCTATGCAGGCCTCGGACTGCCTTCACTGTCACTTTGGGGACACATCCTCTTTATTTTCTTCTCCAGGATCCTTGTGCAGGACAAGCCACCAACAAAGATCACACAATAAAGCAAGAGTAGCATTAATCTCCCTGTACAAGCAGAAAATACAAAAAGGCAAATGCAAACCCTTAGTCACTTTACATAGAGAACGTGTTATCTATTACCTGTTATCTTGGCATAGTTGAATAATATAGTTGAATAAAATTATTTTTCTTTAATCGCAAGGTTTAGGTGTTGCATGTCTATGCTGAAATAAATTTTTTTGCTTTATTTTTGGTGCTTGTTTGCATGATAATGGGAAGATTATGTAGAAAGAATCTACTAACCCAGGGTCCAGGCAACATAACATGAATTCTGAAAACTCAACAGATTTGTATGTTACGATCTGTGGTATTTTGGCCTTACAGAGGCACACGAGCCAGTCTTCTTAGCTGGGATCACGCTTTACAAATGTAGACATTAATGCCATTCTGCTTCAACCATGTGGCAGTTTACCTACAGTAAGCTTGATGTAGCAGATGAGATCCCCCACTTCCCATGCTGAATTCAGTTTCTTAACACTTTCAGTTATGGTAGAAACAGAACATCCAGTGCCAAATAAGACAACATTTAATTATTTTAAACAACTCACAAACTTTTTCTTTTTTTTTTTTTCTCCAAGTCAGTGTGTGGCCATGCCTAAAAAAGCCCTTAGCTATCACGGAGAGCAAGAGCACGCCATCAGCTGAATGTCCTGAGCATGCTCATGAATCCACAAGAGGCAGTTGTTTGTGGCCAAATCATCTTCTCAATCACCACAAGCTGAGCACTTAGGCAGTTAGGATGAGTATTTGGGTACCCAAACATTCTAAGCAAGGGAACCTAAAAAGCTGGAAAACACCAGTCAACTGTTTTATTCTGATAACGAGCTGCAATAGCTGATGCTTCGTAAAACAGAAGAGCTGAAATAGAGGGAGTATGGATATGGATATATCCTTTATATGGATATGAATAGAGAGGGAGGAAAAATCCAACACCCCACTGAGCGGCGATGTTCTGAAAGCAAAACAGATTTTTTTTTTAAAAAAAAGGTTTATTATCTACCCTATATGGGTCACAGTTTCAATGACTACAATCTTACAGCTCCACAGAGGGAATTCACCTCGCAGAGAGCAGCCCTCTACCCATAGGTGCTCCGGCTCCAGGGCAGGTAGGACGAGCTGGATTCCTACCCAGGGCTGCCACCTCTTGGGGGTACAGTATACGGTACCGTACCATAGCACACCAGCCAGAGGGTGCCAACAGATAACTTCAGAGTCACTGTGGAGCTTAAACATTTTTCTGCTATTGGAGATCAGCTGCAAAACTGCGCAAACAATCAAGTTTGTTTATCCTTGCATAGAAATAACACAATTTACAGTAAAGGAGGAAAAGAAAGGCAAAAGGAATGCTCTAAATCTATTTTTTTAATAATCTATGGCGATGCTTAAACTACTGGGTATTCTTTGTATCTGCATTTGCTACAAAAAGATTTGCTAAGCACTTTTTTTTTTAACTGCAGACAAACAGGTGAACTAGCAATGAGCAAATTAGATCTTCTCTCACAAGTGCTACAGAACTATTAACTAGGACCCAAGGAATTGGGACACAGGTAAAGAAGGCAGAAGTGCTTGGGGCATTTTCAGCAAAGGAAAAAAAAAAGAATATTTAAGTAAGTACTAACTAATTAAATACTTTAAAGAAGTCTACCCCCCGAGCCCGATTTAAGTTATAAAGTTTAGTACCAGCAGTAGTTACAAAATGGTTCTTTTTTCTACCGCCCCACTAACGACCGCGCTTCCACACTCTGAGACTGGGGAAGGAGAAGCTCCACGGGGGAAAGGGAGCGGAGCGCAGCGAATCCATCCGGCATTCCCGGCTCCGCCCAGGCCGCCATGGGCGCAACTCGTCGTGGCTCCCGGGCGCCGGGCCCC